TCTTCCTTCTCTCCCCTCTCCCCCTCCCCCTCTCTTCCTCTCTCTCTCTCTAACTCGCTCACCGTCTTCTAGCGTGTGCACGGTGATCTCCTTCGTGCGCGGCCCCGCGCCGCGGCGGTTGAACGCCTGCACCATGACGCTGTACTTGGCAAACTTTGCGAGACTCGTGACGACGTGCTCCTGTAGCGGCGTGTCGGCGTTGACGGGCACTGTGTGGTAGAGGTAGGGCGACGAGCCGTTGACGAGCTTGTAGCCGACGTAGTAACCCTGCAGCACACCGTTCTGTAGACTCCGCTCCGGCTCCTGCGGACGACGACAACAGAGTGAGTTAGGGTTAGGGTTAGGGTTAGGGGGTTGCAATGTGGTAGTGGTAGGGTGAGATAGTGCTAAGATGGGACAAAAGGGGGTTAAGATGGGTGTAATATCGGTGTAATATTGGGTTATGATGGGGTTAGGATGGGGTTGCGGTGGGGGTTAACATGGTGGGTGTAAGATAGTGTTGAGATTGGAGTAAGGAAAGGGGATTAGGATGGGTGTAAGATGAATGTAAGATGGGATTAGGATGAGTGTAATATGGGGTCAAGATGGGGTTAGGATGGGGCTATGGTGGGGTTAGGATGGGGCTATGGTGGGGTTATAATGGTGGGTGAGATAGTGTTAAGACGGGGCAAGAGATGTGGTTAGGGGTTGAGATTGCGATGGGATTGTGTTGGGGTGAGCCTGGAGTATAAAATAGCGTTAAGATGGGGGCTTGAGTGGGTTAAGATGGGTGTAAGATGGGGTTAGAAGGGTAAGATCCTGGGTATAAGATGAGGTAAGATATGGTAATACAAAGTGGGATATGGCAATACAGACTTACCATGGAGGTATGAAGGAGGTGAGATGGGGTTAAGATGGTTATAATTATAGTTATGGCTATGGTGGAGAGACCAATGCCGGAGGGCTGGACGGCGACACATTTTTCACCGCCCAACCTCAGCCAACTTCGAATCTGGCTGATTGGCTAACGGCAATTCTTTTAAGTGAATTGTGGCGCGAATTAAATCCTTTCTGCCGACTGGGCGCGAAATTGCATTTGACATTTCCGAATGCGAGCTAGCTCCTTGAGTTAGAACGCAGACGATATGGGCAATGAAGACATTAACTCGATACTCAATATATTTTCGACTAATTCTATTGGCGCGGAAGGATAATATACGTTTCGAGAAACGAGGTTAAACGCCATTACCGCGTTCTTCACGTTGAAATGTTTTCGTGGCATTTTATTTACGTCTAATGACGTCCGATCGAATTTGTGCGTAAGAGAGAGAGAGAGCGAGAGAGAGAGAGAGTTTCTTTCGTTTCGTCCCCTCACCGATAAAACAGGAAGCTTACGAGGAGGAAACGAATGACGCAGTCTAGATACCCACACATCTGATACCTATCTCTTATCGCGGTTTTGCTCACATCTCAGATATCTTATCGTATTTTACTCACATCGCAGACATCCTAACGTAGTTCACTCATATCTCAGACATCCTATTGTAGTTTACTCGCATCTCAAACATCCTATCGTAGTCCACTAATATCTCAGACATCTAATCGTAGTTTACATATCTGGCGTACTCTGTCGAATGTTACACGCTAACTACACGACCTCGGCAATGATCCAATATTATGGTAATCGCTACGTACGCTAGCTAGCATTTCAGAAAGAGATCATGATGAACAGTCTATACGAGCAATCCCGTGATTACAGGCCGTCCGCATGCATTTCCACGTATTAAAGTGTACTCCCGGTGCTATGATAGGGCGGCAGACGATATTATACGGGGAGTTGTCGTCGTTTGTTCGTTATGTTAGACCGGCTCACTCACATGCAAACACGCGCGCACGCACGCGCACACAATCCCCTCTCGCTCTCTTTTTCTCTTTCTCTCGTTATCTAGCTCTCTCTTTCCGTCTTTCCCTTTCTCTCTCTCATCGGCTCTTCTTTTTCCCTCCTCCCCTGCTCCTGCCTCTTTCCTTATCCTAATCTCTCTCCCCCCGTCTCTTCTTCTTTTCTCGTCCTTCTTCCCTGTCCCCTTTCCCTCTCCCAATTTCTCTCTCCCTCCTCAATTCCTCCCACCTCTTCGCTATCTAGCTCTCTCTTTTCCCCTCTTCCTTTCTCTCCCCGCCTGTTTCTCCTCTCTCATCTTCCTACCCTGTCTCTTCCCCTCTCCCAACTTCGCTCTCCCTCCCCTATTCAATCTCTCCCTTTCCTTCCGCTCTCGCTCTCAGTCTTTTCTCTCTTTCGCTCACTCTCCCCTTCTCTCCCTCTCGTTCCTTTCCCAAGCTCTCCTACTCTCTCCCACACTCTCCCACTCTCTGTCTCCCTCCCCTTCTCCCCCTCCTCCTCTCCTGCCCCTCCCCTTCTCTCTCTCTCTAACTCGCTCACCGTCCTCTAGCGTGTGCATTGTGACCTCCTTCTCGCCTCCCTTTCTCTTCCTCTCTCCTCCCCTCTCCCGCCCCTCCCCTTCTCTCTCTAACTCGCTCATCGTCTTCTAGCGTGTGCACGGTGATCTCCTTCGTGCGCGGCCCCGCACCGCGGCGGTTGAACGCCTGCACCATGACACCCTCCTCAATCTCTCTTTCCCTCTCCCTTCTCTCCCTTCTCTCCCTCCCCCTCTCCCGCCCTCCCCTTCTCTCTCTAACTCGCTCACCGTCTTCTAGCGTGTGCACGGTGATCTCCTTCGTGCGCGGCCCCGCACCGCGGCGGTTGAACGCCTGCACCATGACCCCCTCCTCAATCTCTCTTTCCCTCTTCCTTCTCTCCCCTCTCCCCCTCCCCCTCTCTTCCTCTCTCTCTCTCTAACTCGCTCACCGTCTTCTAGCGTGTGCACGGTGATCTCCTTCGTGCGCGGCCCCGCGCCGCGGCGGTTGAACGCCTGCACCATGACCCCCTCCTCAATCTCTCTTTCCCTCTCCCTACTCTCCCTTCCCTCCCTCCCTCTCTCCCGCCCCTCCCCTTCTCTCTCTAACTCGCTCACCGTC